TGGTTGAAAAAGTAGCCGAATGTCAAAGTCTGCAAACAGGTTGGCAAAATGACACCTTCCAAACTCTGGTTAAACTCAAAGCCGAAGGTCAAACCGGCGATGGCATCTGTCACTGCCACATGGCTGTGGTCTCCCGTCCCCTCTGCGAGGACTTTCCGGAACCCAAGTGCTGCCTCCAGTGCACAAACCTCTCGAAGGACATATGAGATCTCTCGGCCGCGCACATCTTGCTGCAGAAGCTTGGAGGAATCCTGCAGAATTTGGCCGTCAGCCAAGAGAACAAGTTCTCGACCAGCTTTCATGCCAAGTTTTGTTGCGATAGTCTCCGATAGATCACCCACCTCACAAGACTGGGCTGAGTCGGAAGCTTCCGAAAGAACTGACTCGAGACTCAGGTTTTTGTCTGCAAAGATCTTACTGAAAGTTCTTGTTTCTAATAGCTTCTTGTTACTACTAGTAAGGCACTTGTTACTAGAAGCGATGCACTTGTTCCTAGTAGCGAACCTTGTTTCTGCGGTTGTCAAACCTGTTTCGACTGAATTCTTCATGTCGGGAGGTCGAACACTCTTCGTCCGGCTGTGCCGTGTCCGAGACACGGTCTCCGTGTCCGTTGACGGTCCAAAGCCGCGAGTTCTCCCGTGCCTCCGCCACCAGCGCAAAAGAGGTGGAACATATACTTATATGTTGTTGAAGTGAACGGGCTGAAAAGAACAAGCTGGGCACAGTTTTCTGAGTGAGTCGTTGCCAAGTCCGATGAGTCCTTTCCAAGACATGCCAAAAAGTTCACTTGGTCATGTACGGCTCACATGCTGGTTGAATATCACCAAGAAAATCTTCAACACATCCAGCACAAACCAAAGAAACTACAAACACCGGCAGGGCAGCAGGGCGTACAGGGAAGTTCTCTATAGCTGAATTAAGGCGCTGTAAATAACTAATCAGTGGATCTAGGTGGATCTGGGTCAGTCGCAGTGTCTGCTGGTGGAAGCCAAACATGTCTATTTCTTTAACCCAAATGGGGATGTCTTCCAAGCTGCTCATCCGCCCTGCACAGCAGCCGCTCCACCCGCTCCAGATCCTCCGCGATGAGTTTCCGCAGCACGGCTTCGCAGGCATCGTCGGGCAGCGACATGGACGCACTGCTGGTGGCGCCCATGCCGTCGAGATACCCCGTCCCTCCTGGTGGTGTGCCTACCCCGTTTGTGAAGTCAGGTGTTTTGAGCATGTTGACTTAGGAATTTACAGGGAAATAGAAAGAAACAAGAAGCTATACTAGGGGCTCCTGGCCTTACTACGCTACTAGGGGTTCCTGGCATCGCTACTAACAAGAAGCAAGGATACTTAAAACGGGGAAAAGAACGAAACAATTTCCTCTTGTGTCCTAGAGAGTCACCCAGACTTACAGGCTGTGTCGCGCTATCCTGAGCCCAGCGGGAACCGGATCGACCCCACTGATTGGTGGTCACACAGAGCCCAAGTCACACACCAAATCCGCTGTGAAAGAATTCACCCCAAGTGGACACGTGTCCGCTTGAAGCTTTCAGTATCTGATTTGACCCATGGCTGTTTGGACTGAGCCTCCGTATTAGCCCGGTATCGATCCAATGGCGCCTCCGCATAGCAGCCATAGTCAGAGGCCGGTGTGCAGCTGTTGGCCGACCACCATCTGCCGGTTTCGGAAAAAGGGTTCCCGAGGTCGTGATCACCAGCAAGGCCAAGGGGTTCCCGGAGGAAGGCAAAGGACGCTACTAGGGGCTCCTGGCATCGCTACTAGGAGCAACACCGACTTGTTGTATAACAGGGCCCAGTGGATGATGGTTAGGCCGCATTACCGATGGCTGGCAGTTGTTGGTTTACTGGGACACACGGGACTACTACCCGGACTGTATCACAGTCAGACGGTCTTTCGAGCGCTGGATGCTGTGCTGAACACCATCTCAGGTGGCGAAGAATTTCTTCCTTTTGACGGTGGAACACCACCCAAAACAACTGGATAGCAAACCACCAAAAACCGGTTCTTGCAGGAAAAGAAGTGTGTCAATCTGTTCAAACGAATGTTCAATGGCGAATGTATAGTGCAACCAGGGTTTCAAGGACACCACTGATCTACTGCCTCCGCGCTGTGGCCTCCCGATCAAATGGAGCGTCATAGTCATTATAGCGTTTGTGTCAGTGTAAACATTCTATTTATGATATATATACCAGCACCACGGAAAGGGTGGTTTATGGACACTCCTGACTATGTATTTTCCAATAACAACCCCTTCCGCGATGCTGGTACATGTAGATTGATGTCTAGGACATTCTGTGAGGATCGGGCAAAGAAAACAACTGCATCTGCGAGGTCAAAAAGAGCTTCATCGCCAAAGTGTGGGACTGTACGTTCACATCCACAAATTGTCAACCTATTCGTGCACCTTCATGTTCCATCTTCACCAGAACTTACTCCCGGTGACGTACCCCGAGATGGGATCCGGACCATCTAAAAGGTGGTGCCTCCACTGCAGTGTGCAGCGCGAGCATTGCAAGCCTGGCTCGCCAGTGGTCGGTGAGCCACGGACGCCCCGACCTTCCCGGGAAACCGTGATGTCGTCCGGAAACTTGAAATGCCGAACCCCGGAAACCCCCAAAAACTATCACATGTCTTAAGCAGGCCACGTCGTTTTGTGAACTCCAGAAGGTATTCTTTTCTTCCGAGGCCCCATGCCTGGAGCCGCAGGGAGAGATAAAGCATGAGAAAACCAACTCTGACCAAGACCGACCAACTAACTCGCGGCCTGAGGGGACCTTGAGGCTAATCACATGGCCGTTGTTGTTGTCCGGCGAGAAGCCACCTGACACGCGACGAAACGAGAAGCCGTTGGTTTCGGTGCATTGAACGTCGGTGGCCCTGGGGACTTGTCGTTCATTTTAACTCAGCCTTTCAGCCCCTAGTAGCGTCCTTGCTCCTAGTAGGGATGCCAGGAGCCCCTAGTAGCGTCCTTCCTCCTAGTCGTAAGGCCAGGAGCCCCTAGTAGCTTCTTGTTCCTATAGTAGTGGTGCCAGGAGCCCCGAGTAGTGTCCTTGCTCCCCTAGTAGCTTCTTGTTCCTATTAGCGATGCCAGGAGCCCCTAGT